GACTCTTTTCTGGTTGTTCATTTGAACATGCTTATTAGCATCTAAGGTACAAGCAGGCACTGGAAGGCCCCAGCCCATATGCTACCTTCATAGCTATACCCAGGCCACTGTCATTTACCCACTGTAAAGCTCCTTAGTTCACAGCAGATGGAAGCAGAGCTGGGAAGGGGCCACGGACCAGAAATGGACCCTATGGTGATGCTTCCATGACTCAACCAGACACACCCACCCACACACCAGGTGGCTCTACCCAACCGACCCACCCTCTGCCCACCTGTCCCAGTAACTTTCATCCTGCAGTGCAAGAGATGCCAGCTGGCCAGCACAGCTGACAGTAGTACTGTTTTTACAGAAGGCAGCTGAAGACTCACCCCCCAACTGACCTGAAAACAGTAAGTGTTTGTGGAGTGAATGCATGAATGAGCAAATAATCAAGGAAACACTTTTCATCCCACTGTATGTTATGAAAGATGTGACAGAAGAAGATGTAGGCTGAGACAGCACAGGCTGGCTTTTGGCACACCTAGCTGGCTTTACCTTCTTACCTGTATCCTTGTGAGGTATGCACTGCAGAATGATTTTGAAACACAGTCTCACCGAGTCACTAGGTTGTCCAAGCTAAGCTCAAACTTATGATCCTCCTGCCTCAATCTTCCAGAGTGCTAGGATTACAGGTGTATACCCCACTCCCACTCATCGTTTTCTTCAGAAAACCCTTTCTTTCACTGCTAATCAACCTCATCTGACTTCTGGAGAAATACAACCTGGAAAAATTCTTCAGCCTTTTATTTCTTTTGCTTCAATCTGTCTGGTTAGTATGCACGCACAAAAGGATCTGGTGCTGGGGATCCAACTGGGGACCTTGCCTAGCTAGGCACATGCTACACCACTGAACAATTCCCCCAGTCCAACTACTCCCTTCGTGCCCTTTCAGTCATCATCTTTCTTGCCTAGTCTCTGTAACAGGCTCCTAAAAGGTCTCCATGCTTCTGCTCTTGAGCTGCTACCATCTATTCAGGGTATCCAAAAGTCAGATCATATCAGTTCTATGCATCAATCTAATGGCTGCCTTTCACTCAGTGCACCAAGTCCTTCCAGGGCCTGCATGGCTCTCCGCAACCTCGTCTCTAATGTTTGCCGGCTTGGCTCACTCAGCTCTCCACATTGGCCTCTCACTGTTCCTCAGCACATCAGACACTTTCACTTCACTCCTTGGAGCACTCACCCCTACAGCCTTAGGGCTAACTTCATCATCTTCCAGGGCTACACCCCGCTGTCACCTTCCCCACAGGCCTGCCCTCATCATCTTTTACAATGTTACTTACCCATACGCACTCTCCTGGTCTTGCTCATCCTGCTCCAATTCTTCCCATGGTGTGCAGAACTCATCTACATCTACTGTACGCCATGCCCGCCAACACTGAGCAAGTGCATATGGGTAGAAGTCTGTTCTCTGGTGCATCCTAACCCTAGAACACTGCCCTGCACATGGAAGGTATTTAATGATTACTACTGAATGATTGAGAGCTCATTCCATTTCAAAGATTTACCCATTGACATTCTCAAACTTATCACTGACATCATTTCTTGCTCCCCTATGTATTTGTCTACTAACTCAATGGACAAAACTGAAGACAGAAGTATTGAGTTTGGAAATTCAAATACAGAGATAACACCTGCCCTCAGGTAGCTCTCTTCTTTCCATCTGTACTGTTGCTACCTTGACTTAGACTGCTGTCACCCCTTGGGATGACAGGACTAGACTGTTATAATAATAGCCTTCTGGATTATCTACCTTCACTTAATCTAAACCCATTTCAACTCATCCTCCATCCCATAAGCACAACAGTATTTTTCTAATTACTAAGATAATGACATTCACTGTTTAACATCCAGGGTGCCAATCCTCTCGAAATACTGTCTCTTACTAATGTCTATAAATCTCTATGTGACTGGTTCCTATCTTATCTGCAAGTCTTAACCGGCAACTCCTCCACCTTCACGTTCTTAGCAGATTTCCCCTATCCTAGACCTCTGTCCCTGCAGCTCCCTCTACATCAGCTAATTACCTTGGCTTATCCTTTAGACCCTAGTTACTGCCTCAGAAAGTCTATCTGACTTCCTTAACAGATTGGATCTCCTTTACAGGCTCTTGCTACACTTGTCACAGTTCAAATTTCAGATCTGTTCAAGTGATTATTTAATATGTATCACCATCTGATGATTAACCTCACAGGTAAAGGCCATGCTTGGTTTTATTTCCTGTGGTGACCACAGTGTCTTAGCAGGCATCAGATACTTAATATACAATTGGCAAATGAATGACCATACATGTGAAAAGCTTTGCAGGAAGAAATACAGAGCTTGAGAAAGGAGTATGGACTGCTGTGTGAGGCAGGGAGCCTCAGGAACTGCAGGCTACCCATAAAAGGTTTTGTGTATCATATTTAAGGACATTCTTCACCAACAAACAACATGGAGCCAGTGGCAGTGTTACAGAGGGGAAGATGTGATCTATTTCGTATTTTTGGTAAGTCTCATCAGATACTGACTGTATGGAGAAGGAATGTGAAGGGCAATGAGATGGAGGAAGGGCCAAGGAGGGCAGTACTTTAGAAACTGAGAACAGGGTCAACATTAGGGTAGTGGAAAGGGCACAACAACTCTCAGATGTGACTGGTGGCTCCAGAAAATCAGATCCAAGGATTCTCAAGCTCATGGCTGAATGCTGCATTGGGATCATGTAAGACCTTGGTTCAAAATACAGATGTCCAAGTTCTACCTCAAACTTAAATCAAACTTTGGGAGTGAAGCATAGAAATCCTACTAGGAACTAACGGTCCTTTAAGATTTCTACTATATTCAGCCAAGTTTGGAAATATGGAATACAAACAGGAAGACACAAAGGTTTTTGAGAGATGAAGAATTAGAACTTGAAAATAATGAGTTGAATTACCTGTACAGACAACCTACAGACCAGACCAATAGCCACCCTGAAGAATACTTTTCCTGGAGATCAAACCTTGCCAGTGGCTGGAGGTGTGTGAGTTCTCATTTATAAAGGAGTGAAGAGTGGCATGGGCCATTGTTAGGCCCTGAGGGCACTTACGCCCAGATGCAGGGAGAAAGGAGGACACATCACTAATCAGTAAAGACCCTTCAGTGTTATTTATGCTGAGGTATTGCTGTCTCATTAGATGCTGGCACAGCGAACCGCTGGGATGTAACAGTCTTTTGTAAGCTTCTAGGATGAAATGGAACTTCTCAACACACCAGCCAAAATGTTCAGGCTTTATCCAAACTCATAAAATACCCTGAGAGAAAACACTAACTAATTAGCTTTATTCCCCAAAGCCTGCAATTCATAGAATACCCTTCTGCCTCTTATCCTTGAGATCATCCCAAAGCCTATCCTTTAAAGGCCAGCTTTCACAAATTGCCCAAGACAGACCTAGGTGTGCCTTCCCTAAACATCAATATGTTTTTATACTGCTTATACTACTTTTATCACATTGTATTTTATAATATATTTGGGGAGATAGAATGGTGTCATAGAAAAAAAAAAAACTGTCGTACAGAAATCTCACCCCTTATTTGTAAGTTGTATGGCCCTGAGCAATTCACTTTGGTTTTCTAGTCTGTGGGGGAAAAAAGGACAATAATACTTTCATTAGCACTTCAGTATTTATCAAGTGAGATAAGTCATGATAAAGGGTCAAAAGTTTTCTTTTTCATATGTACACATCTTATCCTCCTGCTAGTTTAAAACATCTTCAGAGCTGGAGTCAAATGTTACCATCTAAACATCTGCACAGCTTTTCTCAGGATGCTTTGCATATGAACAGGTGCTGATACATTCAATGTATGGCTATGAGATGAAAGGAAAAAAAAGTTTATACCCCTCTCATTCTGAAAAGCACCTCAGGCAGCTGCTGACAGCCATGTTTCTTCAGCCACACTACTCAGCATACTATCCCATAATCATAGTTCTGCCATTCTCCTGACATACTCCTCCTATCCCTGAACACTGAGTATCTATCTCTCCTACCTCCAATCTGAGCACATTCCTCCTCCATCAAGCTTCTCATGATCTTCAACCCAAAATGACTATTCTTTTCCAAGTTATCCATACCTCTATGCTATTTATCTTAGACACTGCCATACACACACACACACACACACACACACACACACACACACACACAATTTGCCACATGTTCAGCTAGACTGAATTCACTGAGTTTAAAATCAGAAAGTTTTCAAAGACATCTTGAAGAACTTTAAAGAATCAACTTTTTAATATAAGCATTTAAAAAATGAAACAGAGGGGTCTGATAAGACCATCTTATATATGAACTACTATTCCTAAATGTTCATAAATTAAATGTCATTAGCTGACTATATCTACCATATTAGATATACAAATGAATTAATGTTTGAAAGTACAGTAAGAAAACCATTACATTCGTGTATCATTTTTGCATCTTCCAAATACTTAGACCAACATCCAATACATAATAATGAAGAGACAATATAGTACTATAGGTAAAATCAGTCTTTGAAGCTGGAAGGTGCTGGAACACAGTATTTACAGTATTTACTAATAGATATCTAATTTTTAAAAATGAAGGATCTAAGTAGAATGCGGTGATGTACAACTGTAATCTCAGCTGTGTGAGAGACTGAGGTAAGAAGATCATAACTTTGAGTCCCAATGGGCAATTTAGCAAGACCCTGCTGCCCAAAATAAAAAAAAGTCAGGGATGCAGTCTGGCTGTCAAGTGCCCCAGGTTCAATTCCCAGTATGAGAAAAAAAGAAACATATACGCACACACAAACTGGACTAGTGTGTGGCGGACAGTGAGGGTGGCAGCAGGTGGCTTTTCCAAGGGGCACATTGGAAAATCAGCCAAGTATTTGTCTGAAGTTGTGTATCCACATTCAAACACAGGTCCGTAAGAGCAGTGAATCAACAGAAACAGAAAAACCAGTGAACTCACCCGTTCTATAGATGTCTCTTCCCCTGGAACACAAGCAGCTGCTGCGCAGGCTATATCCATCATTGTGGAACTGGTAGGAGCGTCTGTTGTGGAAGAAGACCGGGGCCGGCCTGTCTGGGCCACAGCTGCCATCTCCTGGCCAGATTTCCTGTTGATCTGGGGACTCCCCTTTGGGGCTTCTGGCTTGCCCCGCCTACTATGCAAGCTGGTCCCTCTCTTCATCTTGGGTGGCACTCGGATCTGCTGCAGAACTCGATTCAAAGCTGTAGGGTGGGTGGGGACACCATCAATCTCAGCACTTGCATTCTGGCTATCCAGATCCACGTCAGGTTCTGGATCGGCCTGAATCTGCTGAACATCGTGTGGAGACACTGATGACCTCCTGCGCTGGTGCTGGAAGAGGTGCTTCAAGCCTTGGCCAATCACATTAATGTTCTCCAAAGCATTGTGGGTCATCTTAGATAACTTTTGTTCTGATTCTGTCTGCTTCCTGGCCTCTGCATCTTGGGATCTGCCTCCAGGATCTGGATCCTCATATAACTGTTCACTGCCCGAAGGCTCCATCAGTAGATTTAACAGGCTTATTTGCAAACTCAAAAATTTTTAAACACACCAAGACCATCAAATTAGGTAGGCATTTGCTTCAACAGTGACTATGCATGCAGCTGTGAGACGGAGGCTTCATGACTATCTAAATGTATTTAAAAAAGAAAAAGAAAAGAAAAGAAACTTATAAATCCATGCAGCAATTCCAGTGTTAAAGAAAAACATGCCAGTAGCCACATAAATAGGCACTATCATTCACCAATCTTTAATCAGAAGATTAAAAGATAGTTTTACAGATAGCGGATGATTATTTTCTAGAGTAGAAGAAAAGGCCCAGAACAAGTACACAAGAAATGAAAACAGCAATGCTAAAATGAACAAAATCCCTGCATGTTTCAAACATATGAGGATTTGGGCACTTGAGATGCCATCCTGGAGTGGACACCATAGTAACAGTTGATAGAACAGCCACTGCTCAGGAAAGGGAACAGGCCATTTATGTATTTACTCCAGCTGAGGCAATTTAATTCCTCTCATTCAAGCCATAATTTTTAATGCATGTGCTTAAATAGAGTAAATTCAAAGACTAGGAGGAGTGGCTATCCCAATCTAATTACAGGTGACTTTTAAAGAACACCGGTATTTCTTAGTAACACTCATATTTATCAAGTTCATTAGTACTTAGAGGTTTGCTCTTCTGAAAAGACAATGGAAATAAAAATTTGTAAGCTAAATTCTCTGAGGCATAAATGACCTTGCTAGCACTCTAGAAACGAGCAGTTCAGACAGAACCAGTCTCTAGAGAAAAAGCTTTGGTTGGTACCAGTGTTCAAGATAGAGGATTCAAAGAAATCCCCTTGTCACCAGGATCATCCCTAACAGAGCTTCTCACATAGCCACAAAACTCAAAAGCAAAGCAGCAGGATAGTAACTTGGTATAAGGAAAGAGTAGAAAAAATTAAAAGTGAAACAGCAATATCACCAGTTATTAGATGAAGGCAGTTAAAAGGAAGCTGAAACTAAGGTAGTAGTACAACAGCTCTGGTAACTGAAATCACATGCATTTAAAAAAAAATGGGGCTGGGGATTTAGCTCAGCAGCATAAGCGCCTGCCTTGAAAGCATGCTTGTGAGTTCGATCCCCAGTACTGATTAAAAAAAAAGAGGGATGGCTGGAGGGGATGACTTTTTTTTTTTTCATTTTCTTTTTTAACTGTTTGGAAACATATGTAAAACAAAATTGTACAAATGTAAAAAAGCTGATAAAACATGATATAAGAGGCTCTTTAATTTGCACATTTTCCCTTGACCTTTTGTTTAAAAACTTTAAAACTCCCAGGATGGGTATGGTTGATGCATGCCTATATTTCCAGCACTCAGGAAACTGAGACAGGAAGATTACCATGAGTTCGAGGCCAGTCTTGGCTACAGAGTGAGACTTTGTCTCCAAAAAAACCCCCCAAAACAAAACAACCAAACAAACTAAAACCCAAAACAACAACAAAACAGTAAAACTCCCTACACAACAAAGTACTCTGAATATGTAAGTCGCAATCAATGAAGCAGCATAATGCTCAAATTCTGGGGTTATGAGGACAAGAAGCATAAATTAGCTAGAGTTCATTACTGTTCAGAGGAACAGGAATGGAAACCACTAGAGCTTTCTTTCTGATGACTACTCTCAGAAAACCTTACCATCGTGCATGTTCTCTTGCCTGTTCCCTCATCTCCTGACTTGTTCATGACTCCGGAGTACAAACAGGGAAACAGAGATAAAGACTCCAGTACTTGTAACTGCTAAAATATTATAAAATTCATTGATCCTAAATGAAGTAGTGAAGAGCAGCCACTGAGAATGGAAGATTTCACTCAAATTCTTTGTGGCTCCAATGAAATTATATCATCCCACTATAGCCTCTCACCCTTTTCTTGATTATATATTTGCTTTTTTTGTCTTTATCCATTTTGGAAAGCAGGGAAAGAAACTCCTAACTCTTACTAATGATTTGTTGGTCCACAGTGCTGTTTCTGTCAGCTTGTGGTTAGAAATGTTGCCAATAATGCATTTAATTATGTTCCCCCTTCCTCACAAGTCTGTCTGGCAAACTAACTACTGAATTATTTCTAATCTAAGAGAGAAACGGCATTGTAAGCAAGATACTCACTAATCTCCTCCTGTAATGAGCTGTTTAGACTCTGAGAACACAGGCAATGTCAAAGCAGCTGCCTGACTGTGAAGAGGTATTTTACGCTTTTTCCGTATTTGTACTGCATTCGTTACATAATACAATTAATTTTTTATTATTGTAAATAAAATGAAATAAGTTGATCCCATGAGATTAAAATATATCATAAGTAAAAGAATGGTGTCAAAATTAGTTGAGAAACTTACTCATCGCATATATAAAGTTATTAGAATTTGTTACTCAGCAAGTCTATTTCTTTGGGTAGTTTTAAACAAATCAAATGACTGTTTGCTTCCTATTTATTTATTTTGGTACTGGGAGCTCAGGACCTTGTGCTTGCCAGGCAGGTGCTGTGCTGCTGACCTATACCTCTTACCCCAGCTTCCTATTTTAAAAAGTAGAGAATATGACACATTGTAAATACTGTATCAGTAACTTTTCTCTAGATGTCACTAGCCTTTGTATATCATTTATTTTCAAATACTCTGAGATCAATTACAAAGATTCCTAGCATTCCCTAAGAAAATCTAAAACAGTATCAATTTCTAAGACAAAGTTTGCAAAGCGAAAGCTTCTAAACCAAGGCTTTCTTCACAGCTGCAAAGATTACATAACAAATGTAATAAAGTCCAGGATATCTGAAAGCAGGACTTATCTTAATGATACTAACTGGGATAGATGCATGCGGGCAAGGAGCTTGACAGAAACCTATACCGAGCTTTAAGTATTTTTACAATCAACCTATTTCTTTGATTATAAAATGTAATCTGGTACTATTACTTATAGCTATTACTACATTACTGTGTAATATTAGCACCAATAAGATACGTGGTTATAACTTTTCAAGTTCCTAAAATTTTCTTCATAGAAGATCTTTAAGGCCACCTTTCAATATGTACCACATATTATGGAAGGCTGAATGATGTGGCAAAAACACAAAAGATAGTAGTAATGCTGAATAATTAACTATAAATCTGCTGATAGGAAGAATACAAGCACTAAAGAAACTGGATAATCTCAAAGTGTTTATGCCTCTATTTTTCCCCAAGATAATAAAGCTCAAATAATAACTATTACTTAGAGTTCGTAAAATTTCCCAAGTAAGTGTATTTAGACCTTTGGTTTAATACAAACAAGTTAACTGTGAAGCTCTTTGTATTTTGCTAAGAGGAAGGTGTTACCTTCTTTTTTACTAATTTGACTTCTCTAAAAGGTGATGTTCTTATAAATAAACCAGGAGAAACAGGAACAGAAAAGGCAGCAAAATGACACAAGAAGCAGGAAGAAAGGGAAGAAGTGAAAGATGGGAAAAGACAAGGAAAATTTTTGATAATTGTTATGTTCTCAGAATTTTCAGTAACTAATTTTTCTGTCACAGTTTTGCTCAAGAATATATCACTACGTCATAGGAAACAAACTGCTCTGAATTAACATCAGAAATAAGTAAAAATGTTTAAAATCTGACAAATATTCATAAAGGTGTTCTACAAAATCATCCCATATTACATCGTTTTGTCTTTTTATTCCTTTAAATTTTTCTTTCTAGTTTTTTGGTTTTGATAGACATGATAACCAAAGCTTCTGGATTTGCCACAAACCAAGTTCATCCACTGACTGTACAGAGTCAAATACTTGCCTTTGCTGCTGCTCCTCAAACCCTCTAGCGTACACAGGAATCCTTTAGGAAAAGCTGAAAAAAGCAAGTATCAAGAATTATACAGTGAGCAAAAGAAACTCTGCAGACAAAAAAAGGAATTATGTTAGCAGGTCTTATCTCCCATTGGTAGGAAGGAATAGAATACTTTTTTCTGAGTGCTTTGCAGTATTTTCCCATTTTGTAAAAACAGTATCCAAGAAAAATAAGATATTTTGGAAGAAAGAACATTAACTTGTCAGCACTTAGAAAAAGAAGCAAATGTCTTGGTGAGCCAGTTAATCTTGACAGCCAATTTGACTAAACTGGGAAGACTCCAGAGATCAGTAAAATACACTCCTGGATATGCATGAGTGGGTCACAGAGGCAGGACCTTGGGGACTCTATCAGGTCCTTCCTCTTGGAGGCATATTCTCTGTGCTGCAGTGATATGAGCAGCTTTGCTCCACCATGCCCTTCTACCATGACACTGTGGCCTCAGACTAGCCAGTCATTGCACATAACCTCTGAAACCATGAGTCAAGTCAGATTCTCTTCAAGTTTTGGAAAGTTGGCCAATACAAAAAATGGGTACCAGAGAAATGGGGTCACTGCTGTAACTGCTATGACTATACCTGACCATGGGGTTCCTAAGTCTTTGTACATGGTTTATGGGAGAAGTTTGGAGAAATGGGGTACAGCAAGACAAAAATGCTATAAGCAAAACCTGATGGATGATTCTGGCTGGAGCTCACAGGACCAGAATGCTAGCAGTAAAGCCTAGGTTTGTGCAGTCTTAGATGGGAAAAAGGAATTTGCTTGAGAACTGGACTACAGGACATGTGTGTTAGTCTGGTAAAGAATTTCTGTACATTTTATCCACGCTCTAAACTGTTAAGACTAGGTTTAAGAGTGATGGAGGATATTTCAAGGCAGCACAATCCTCAAGCTGTGGTTCAGTACTGCTGGCTGTTTTTAGCCAAATTTATAGTGACAATCAGAAGCAAAATGCAGACCAGAAAGATTCAAGGAAAAAACTGTCTATAAGACAATCACCCATAAAGTGGGGAACACAGCAAAAACAGTTATAGTTGCTGAAGAGATTAACATTGTCAAAAAGTAATAAGTGCTTTGAACCAGGACAAGAAGCAAGATGCTTTATGGACATGTCAAAACTCAGCAGAACCTCACCTAGTGCAGGCTTCAAGGATACAAACATGTCAACCTTTCATTTAAGAAGAGACCCCAAATATCTGGCAGGGTTGTATAGGGAATTGGTTCCCTAGGATTCATTTTATCATGCTCAGCTATCTAGGCAACTCAGAGGCTGCTGCAGCTGTGGCCCAAGGTGGCCCAGCTGCTGCTCACACTGGTGGCAGGCCTTGGTGTTATAGCAAGCAGAAACACCAAAACAACACCCAGGATTTGAAGGCAGATTTATCTACATCGACAGGCACTGACTGAGATCATTCCCCAAATATGAGGCTCTGATCTCTGCTGATCTAGAGTTTACATGAGATAAACAAGCAGGAAGTACGAAGCTGAATGGCTTGTCAAGTGGAGACTGGTTCTTACAATATGGGTAACTAGCTATGCACCACAGTGACCAGCCATTTCCTGGAGACAGAAGCAACTGGAACTGCAACAAGAACTATTACCTGGGCAACTAAGAAACTGAAGTGTACTGGTTGGGGCTGGGGGGATAGTGTCATTTTCTGTTACATTGGCACTGTCTGATCCTGGTTTTTGGGGAACACACAATGTAGAAGTTAATGAGGGTCACAAAGTCCTCCACCCAGATTTCAAGGAAAGTCTTGGAGGTTCCAGTCAAAAATGTGTGGCAGGATTGGAGTCCCTGCCAGGAGTCCCTGAGAAGGTAGTCTTTAAAATTACCTGGGTGGAACCAAGCCTTCAATGGAGACTCTGGAATTGGGAGATTCCAGGAAGGAGGAAATGTCCACCCAAAAGCTTCAGGGTACAAGGAAAGCTGGCCAATATGGAGAGAGGCCACACGGGCTACAAACAGCAAAGCCACAGAGATGGGCCCACCCACACTCGCTGGCAATCACATTTCACCACCATGGGCTCTGGATGCCAGACATGGACCCAGAGGACTTAATGCTTGCCTTGATGGATTCTGGTCTTTCCTGGTCCTATTCTTTTCTATCCTTCATTCCTCCTTTTCTAAAGTAGTTCTGGAAGCCCTCATGTACATTTTTTCATGGCTATTTTGATGTCCTCAATCTATTCAAAGGGTTTACAAAAACTTCTGTCAACTAAAAACATTACATCCATTTTATTCACTGATCCTGGGATCATGATTCCAGTATTATGTGACTTCTGGCTCTCCTCCAAATCAAAATGACCATGAATGATAAACATTTTGAACTGACTCAGTATGAGGCAGTCACAATGGTACAACTAAAGACATTCAGAAAAGAGGACTCCCAGAGATACTTCAGAAGGTAGCAGGAATGATGGGACCTGTGTGTCTGAAGTTGGGGGTGGGGAAGTGTTTTGTTTTCAGGCAAACGAATGTTTATTCAGTACTTCCCACCATTTTGCCACAAGGCTCATTCACATCCTAAGTCCTTCCTCTTCATGAAGGCAGGGGACAAGTCTTAGCTTCGATCATGGTGTGCTTGACCTGGGTGCCTTCCACTGAGTGGAGTAAAGCTCAAAGTCATTTACTCATACATCAGAAATTGAGCACCTATTGTATACCAGGCCTTGGGATAGTCCCAGTTCTTAGGACTCTCAGGCTGAAGGAAGAGCTGACAAACATAACAGTATGTATAGCAACAGATGGCAACCAGGTTTATGGATTGCATATGGGAAGGTAATCAGACAGCTGAGAACTGCGTTCACACACTAATACAGTGGGCAGACTTCACTGTAGGATGACAATTAATGACTCAAGGAGGTGCTCATTACAGGAAACATGAATGCTACAGGTGGGGTGCCAGCTGTGTGCTCTCCTGGGACTTGGGGGCCACACATGTCACAAAACATTGAACATTTAAACAGGGAAGGCCCTAGACACACCAGATGTTGTAGTTACTTGTAGTCTAGAAAAGGGAACAGCAAGTAAAAAAGCCCACAAGAGGTACTATTTTGAGGAGCATTAATGACAATATGTCTTTCACTGTTACAAAATTTTAGGGTCAAATGTTCACTGTACTTTTTCATCACACCACATATATTTTCTAACAGTATGGACCCCTTAGGTTCAAGAGTGAGAGGGAAATTCTATTCTTCCCTTTTTCTTTCCCCACTTTCTCCTGCTTGAGCTTTCAGGCAAATCAGGAGGAATGAAGCCATAGCTAAGAGTAGACAGGCACCTTGGGGCCTCTTCCTCATCAGAAGAAATACAGTCCTAAAGAATTTAAGAGTCCCACTGCAGGGAAGAAGAATAAGCCAGAAACTGGGACAAACTGCTACGGTCCTAGCATCAGTGTAAAATCTGTGGGAGCTGTAATCCAAGAAACTTTGCATCCTTCAATGGCTTTTTCTCCAGGAACCTCAAAAATTCTCCAATGCAGCTGGAAATCAGGGTGAGAGCATCTCGCTTCCACCATGGAACTGGGGGTGGGGTGGAATGGACAACAGTAAATGTAGCCATTCCAGATCCACTTCCTACATCTCTCTGTGTACACCACCAATGTCTGTGCCCTGAGAACACTAGCAGAATTGTACTACAACTAGGGGAAGGAAAAGCATATCAGCACCTAGTCATTACCATCTGAGGTAAAACAGCCTTAATATGCAGAGGAGAAAAGATTGAAAAAACTCTTAGCCCAAGGATTCTGTTGAATACTCAATGCAGTTAGAAAAGGGTAGAGAATTTTGTGAAGGTCACACCCCTAGACCTGTGCTCCAATTCCAACATAAACCCAGGGTTAAATCAGAATATCATAGAACTGCTCTCACTCTTGGTATCACTAACAAGTCTTTGAAGAAGAGTAACAGTGGACCATAGCTGAGAGAACCTCGAGAGAGAGACAAAGGGAGAGCACAGAGGGAAACCGAAAGACAAGAATATACAAGGAACAAGTCATTAGCAGGGAAATTTGAAGCCTCTGGTTCTCATGATGATAGCAAATATCAATTTCAGTAACTATAGCAATAATAAACATGAAACACACAGAACTTCTGAATCTATTAACGCTACCTCAACCCTGTAGAAAACCAACAGCCAAACAGATCAAAGCATATCAAATATTTCTCTCAGGGCTTCCTGCCACAGACAACACACATAGCTCAGACTAACATATGCGAAAGACAGTAATGGAGAGGAGACAAAGTAATCAGAGCCAGGAGCATATATGACATGAGTTTTGGAATTTTCAGAGAATCTACAATATAATTAATGTAGTAAACATTCCAATGAAAAAGGCAGACAACATATTCAATCAGACAAGTTATTTTACAAAGAAATACAAATCATAAGCAAGAATCAAGTACAAATTTTAGAAATGAAAACACAGTAACAACTGCCTTTGACAAGCAGTATATATGTACTGAAAGAGTAGACTTTGACAAAAGAACTTGAGAGGCCAGAGGTATAGTTGAGTGACACAATGCCTGCTTGGGAAGTACAAGGTCCAGAGTTTGATTATGGGTACTAAAAACAAACAAACAAACCAAAAAGCCCCAAAACAGAAGAAGAGCGACCTTGAGTACAGGCTAGCAAATTTGCCCAAACTGAATTACAAATAGTAAAGAAATTTTCCTACTTGGAGAATATCTGAGAGTTGTGAGAAAATATCAAATGCTGTTAAGATACTCATACTGAGAGAGGTCCAGGATCAGAAGAGAGGGAACAGAGAAAAAAAAAAAAAAAATTCAAATGGTCAAGAACTTACAAAATTAGTACCAGGACACCACTATTCATTAAGAATCTTTGAAAACATATACTAAACAGGATAAATGTCCAGAACATCAGTCTAGCATATTGTTATGCCTTGCATCTCAATATCTCCACAAACCCTCATGCAGTCATAGGTGAGGCTTTTCATAGGTGGCTGGATCTAGGGTGTGTGATGCTGGGATCAAAG